GTGTGTGTGTGTGTGTGTGTGTGGAGCGTTAAGGTGCCCCGACATTCTGGAGGGGTAATTTGGAGATCCATTATTCACCCTTGGATAATGGTGAATATCACGTTTTAGAAGATTGCTCACGACACTAATTAAGTTTGGGATGCATTCCTTTCCCACACAACAATTAAATCAAGTTAATATGTAGCCACGACGTTTCCATCAAAGGTGCGCGACTCATGTCTTGTTTTTCTCTTCCACACTACCAGGGAGAATTTGTTAGAATTAATTTTATTCTACCAAATTTCGCCTTTTCAATCATCAATTATACGAGGAGGTGAGTAACAGCCTTCAATTGACTTCCACTTTCAGAGATTTGCTTCTCGAAATTTGCCAAGTTTAATACCTTTACTTTGCTTTGCCTTTTTTTTTTTCTCCTTTATTCACACCTTCCAAGGTGGAGGGCTTCCAGTGCTTTTCACCGGTGCAATGGGATGAATATGATTTTCAATTATTTTTACTTTATCTCCACTTATAGGGCTTTTTTCGACGAACAGAGGAGTCAGCATCGAGACTGGTATGCGTTGGTGGGAAGGACAACTGCACAATCACTCCTCGTAGCCGCAATGTCTGCAAAGCCTGCAGATTCCGTCGGTGCCTTCGTGCCGGCATGTCCAAACGCGGTGCGTTTAAGTGCCAAGCCCTAACTTTTGCTAACAATACTGCCGAAGTTCGTTCGGTTTGTATAGTTGGGTGATCAGAGTGAAAAAGAGAGGCGAATGAGGAGAAGTGAGGAACATCTGTTGCCCAATTTGTGGAATTTAAATTATAATGCATTTTTGGACATCATCAATGTTCAAGTTTACAGCAGATGCTGAAGGAGCTTCCAATCATTGAGACTAATTGTCAAGACATTCCAACACTCGGGTGTCAGTCTCCAACCCTTGTAGGGACAACTAGTTCGCCTTATTGATTAATTGGTGCCCTGTAGCCGCAAGATCTCCCCCTTTTCACCACCCCTCACTTTAGCAGAGAGTCACTCGTATTTGCCCGACATTTCCCTCTTTTGGCCGTCATCCTCCACTGCCAGGCTGACAGTACGTGCGACCTCGTTGTCGGACTCTGTTTGCACAGCGATGACTCTCCTCTGCCCTTCTCTCGCTCTCTCTACCC